ATCCAAAGGATGAGTGTATCATGGAGGTAGTTACCCGGAGGTTTTAGTGTGCACGGGATGCAGTGACCCGAAAGGGTGAGCATGCTATGGAGTCAGCAGCTGAAGAATGACTATGTCGTAGAGGTAGTGACCCGAAAGTGTGGACGTGTCGTTGAGACACAACCTAAAAAATGAATATATCGTAGAAGCGGTGACCCAAATGGTGTGCCTACATTAGTCCAAAGCGGTGCCGTAGAAGGGTAGATATATAATTCTTGTTGGAGAGAAGTACACAATGATTCGACTTAGTGACGAGCTACTCATTCAAGAGATAAGTGTGTAAGAAATAAAAAGTAAGAAATAAAAATTCGAGTGCAAACAAATTTCAGGCATAAAAATTTGAGTGCAAACAAATGGTGTGTAAATTAAGCTCTAAGCTCCTTGAGGAAGAAGACGAAGTTCTCCCTTGCCCTCTCAAGCACTTAAAGCTTCAGCCCAAAACTAAAAACTGAGGGGAGATTGATGAAATGAGGATGAGAGGAAGCTTAAATCAACATCCCCATGCAAAATCCCCAAAGTGCCTCCTCAATCAAGCCAAAAATGGCTATTCAATGGCACTTAAGGCATGTCAAGAAAGGGTTATTCCCCAAGCTTGTTACAAGCCCAAGGGAATCACCCCCAGTTCAAGAAGAACCTAAAATGTCGGCTCAAGGTGGCATGTTTCCCAAGGGGCCTCCATGCCAAATTTTAAAATCTGGGTGGGTCGATGTGGCCACGCCATCCCACGGTGTAGCTCTATCTTGCGACGTGGTCCCACCACCTTTGGGCATGGCCGCGCCGAAGGTGGCTCCGAGCAATTTAAAGGAAGAACATGCATTGTCACCCCAGACGACAACGTAACTACATCGTAATCTTTGTCTTGCGATGTGTCCACGCCGAAGGCCGCTCCCTCAACTTTTATAGGAGTGGATTAGGCGTGGCTATGCCCAATTTGGGTGTGGCCACGTCAAACCCTTAAGGTGTTTTTTATTTTTTTCACTCTGGAAGTCCACTAATCGCACCACATGGCACAGAAAAGCTCTTAATGATCTGATCAGACCACACTGGCCTCAAAATGATCGTTCACCTTGCCCTTGAACGGGGAATCATCAGGGATCAAAGGTTGTTGTTATCGGGCACGACCAGGATGGAATGACTCTAGCCAGGAGAAGACGTGCATCTGGTAACGCCCCAACAGATTCCTTGAGTTATGGGATGGCATGGGTGAGCGTCGCACACCCTCACAACATCACAGTGGCATATGATATTTGTGACATCAAAAATCAATGCCAACAACGAAAAGCTCTCCATAACCAGAATGAATCACATATGCTTCAAAATGGTTGTTCAACTTGCCTCTAGAATAGGGAATCATCATAGATGAGAGATAGTCACAATTGAGCACGGCCAGGAAGGGATGACCCTGTTACGAAGACGACGTACATCCGGTAACGTTTCAACAAATTCTTTGAGCTGCAGGAGGGCAAGAGTGAGTGTCGCATGCTCACACAACATCATAGGGCATCTGATAATTGTGATATAAAAAAATTAATGCCAACAATGTTCTTTACCACTCTTATTCGTAACCCTCCTCTTTCCTTCTTTCGTTAATCCAGGATGCATTACATGACAACTCTTTAAGTTGTACCCAAATATTTTGGTGTTGTTACAGTATTTTGGTGTGTATTTCTATTCTACTTTTTGTTAGTAATCGTTATTCCGAAAACCCAATCAGATCTCATCATTCAGAGGGGAGGTAATCTCTTTCTACTAAAACCCCAATAGCAGAAGTTCTATTGAAGGTATAAGTGGCAAGATCTACTTTTAAAGGGTTACCAAAGATAGGTCCAATGGAATACAAGACTTTTCGATTAAAATAGTGAAGATTTAAACCCATAAAGTTGAGCCAAATAGGGATGATAGGAAGTTATGTGGAAGGATCAAAATTTCAAGACTTTTTAAGCACTTTCATCTGAGTTTTATCAATCAAATAGGGCTTGCTTCCAAAATGTAAATATTAAATTTTCCTGTTCAAAGAAAAACATAACGGGTTTTTCGGACTTTTTTCAAGAGATCTTCATCCAAATTATTAGCATAATCCTCGTGTAAGTACTTCTGAAAACAAAGTAAGTTACCATAAAAATTATGAGTGCTCTTCAACGCATCGACATAAGAAGGCGCAGCCATTAAGCTAAAATTACCAAAACCGTAAAAACAAAACACGATCACAGAATTACCAAACATTGTAAGAAAAATAAAGCGAATAAAACCCAACTATTTGACGGATCGCCTAGGCAAATCTGAAATAGATGGTGCCCAAAGGAAGTCCAACCCTTACAAGGATAAACTGATGCGAGAAAAAAAAAACCCGATTTGATGAAAACTGAAAAATTTTTGATCATGAGACATTAGTGCAACAAAACCCTAGATCGCTCGTGAAACGCTAGAGCAGACACGCGCCTCCCATCTCTCTCTCTCTCTCTCTCTCTCTCAATGTTTGTGTGTGTACACACTATTTGCACATATTATATATAAAATTTATAGAATAATGCTGAATTAAAGATAGCATATAATAAATAGTAGATAATCATGAGAGTAAAATATTTAAAATTCTAGATAAGTAATGCACCTGTCTCATTGTTTGTTTTTAGAGTGATTTATTATAACTTTTAAATAAATTATTAACATTGTAAATATATTATTGTTCTGGTAGTGGGAATAAAACATAAAAGTTATTAATTATTTAAATATCAATTTTATTTTTGATTGTAAATTATTTATAATATATTATGTTTTTAGTCATTAAAAAAGAGTTCTTACAAACTAGATAATTTTTTATAGTAGAATCAGCATTTTATATGCAAGCATTGAACAAAAATTCATGTACATATAGATGTAATAATGCCACGAGAGCATTTTTACATGATAAATTAAAAGAAGGAACAAATTTATGAGTTATAGTTAAATAAAAATAATTTGTCATGTAGTTTGTGATTACAAGAGCGAGTTTTCGGCCCTTATTAGATGTGACTACGTTTTAATCTATGAATTTTCAACTTCGTATTTCTTAAATGTGGTGAAAAATATAAAATAAATCCACGCTCTAATATCAAGAGACAGTTGTTGGGTAGGGGTAGATGTCACGATGATAGATGATATTCTGACGATAGTTTATGTCACCATAGGTCGGTGAAAATCAAAGATGATCGAGAAATGTTAGTCAGGTGATGATATATATTCACGTAACAATAATTAGGTGACAATGATTAGCAGCGATAATCATCAGTGCTAACAATCTAGAAGAGCTCCAAGTTTCTCTAAATCCTTATGCTCTACCTAATTTTTAATATTTTTAATTAAAAGAAATAAAGAATGGACCTTATTTTTAATTTTTTAGAGTAACATTTAGTATATTTTAGACTTAATTTCAAACACTTGGGGGACAATAAGTGTTGTTTCACTTGATCATATAATATCCTTAAGTATTGAAATGTCTTAATAACATTATAATTGAGTGATTTTAGCTCATTAAATTCCTTTCATTGAGCCTCTTATTTTGAATACAAGCATTAAAGATTAGAGGAAACCTTTGGTTCATAATAATAACTAATTATTATAAGAATAATAATTAATTATATTCTTAATGCAGCTTTTCGAGACATATTTATAGAAATTATTTCTGCATATGGTATGCCAGTTATTCACATTTAATTTAATTACTAATATAACAAAAGTGAGATTAATACTTTACCTAACTATTTAATTTGTGGATATTTGTAATTAAAAAAAATGGATGGCTGACTATCCAAGATAAAAGACATTAATGGCAATTATATTATTATAAAAGCAATAGTAGTGCTATGCTAATTACAATCCATATGTCTAGATTAAGGAAGGTTTATTGAGAAAGCATAACATATAGGGACCTAAGTTAGATGAATATCTATTAGAGAATTTCATTGAAATATTTGTTTTAATGAACAATTTGCTTAAATTAGAATTATGGTGTAAATTTAAGTGCCATTTACATATATAGCACCAAATGTTGAATTTTACAATTATAACACTCAAATTATTTTAATTACATTAAAATACCACTATTATTAATTAAGAAATAAATAAAATACACATTCTAAAAGGTGATATAAATATTAAAGTCATTAGAAGCGAATTTAGGATTTGTTTGGGGCAGCTGCAGCTTATTGAATAAACGAATTTAGGATTTGTTTGGGGCAGTTGCAGCTTATTGAATAATCTGTTGATAAGCTGATTAAAAATAATCTGTTGATAATCTAGGTGATTAGAAAAGTCAGACCGCTGTCAATAAGTTGTCACCGCACCTAGATATGTGCGATGTGAAAACACTATTTTCTGTGTTTTGAAAAAGCATAAGCTGTTAAAACACAGTTTACCCAAATATGTCAGGTGCATTTTCAAAATGCAATCGCACCAAATAAACTGCCCCGAACGAGCCCTTAATAACATTTTTCAAAAAAAATTTTTTTTTTCTTCTTAAAGAATAAAAATTAAAACCATCATTGCTCAAAATTCAAAATCCCCTTAATAACATTTTTCAAAAAAATTGTTAATAAAAATTAAAACCATCATTGCTCAAAATTCAAAAAAAAATAATAATAAAAATACTTATCGGCAAACCACGTGGCCACCTCGCCTCTCTCGAAAGCCAACCCAATTTTAGTTGGACCTCGAACCCACAACCAACAAATAAATAAGGGACATTTACATACTTACCACCCAATTCCTCTTCATTTACAAATCTATTACGTAATCTTTATATTTTACATTCATACCGCCCAAATCTTTCATATCATACAAATAAATACCTTATGGTGGTAATTATGTAAAAATTGAAATTTAGATGTTTTATATGTAATACATAGGAATTGACTGGTATGTATGCAAATCTTCCAATAAATAAATATCTGAGAAGAAAAGTGAGGTAATTATCATCATCATCAGCTTCTTTCTCCTTCCCACATGCCTAATATTATTAAATGATTAGCTGCTGCTTCTTCCTTATTCGTCTTCTAGGTTCTCAGCACACACATAACCAGCCATTGTCTCCTTCTCTGAGCTCAACGGCTAGAAGTTTCTGTTGAGGATTTCCTTCGCTTGAAGCCATGAATAAACTTACTAAAGCAGAAGACTTGAACCTTCTCAAGCTCAAGGTATCCCTTCCTCATCTGAAATTTCTAATTTCTTGTAAATTTTATATTTTGTTTTATAATTTTGTTAAAAGATTGTTTTTTTGGCTGTATCGTTCTGTTCTGAGTGCAGACTTGTGTTCTGAAAGTGAACATCCACTGTGAAGGATGTGCGAAGAAAGTTAAGAAGATTCTTCAGAAGATTGATGGTGTTTTTCTTATACCTGTTCTACTGACCATTCTCTATTTTTTTCTTTAATTTCATCTTTTTTTTTAATTTTAGCATTTATTGTGAAAATTTTTCAGGAGTTTACAGTGTAGCGATAGATGAAGAACAGGGGAAGGTAACTGTTACAGGAAACGTTGATTCTTCCATCCTCGTTAAAAAGCTCAGAAAGTCAGGAAAACATGCTGAACTCTGTTCTTCCAAGAAGAACAGTAATATTGATGCAACAAAAGGACAGAAGAACACCTCCAATAAATCAGGAACTAAAGATCAGAAACTGCAACTGCTGCAGAAGGAGCTAATGAATATGAAGTTTCCATCCACAAAAGATCATAAATCAGTCAAGTTCTCTGCTCCTGCTCAGGATTTGGATTATGGCAGTGAATTTGATGATAGTCTAGATGATGGAGGCTACTCTGATGAAACTGATGCTTCTGATGATGAAATTGATGACTATAAGAAATCAGCAGCCAAACGGATGGTGACAGTTAAAAAAGGTTTTGGTGGTGAGGTCCATGCTAAAGGCAATGGAATAAGTAAAAATGGAGGTGGAGGGACCCATGAAGCTAAGAATGGAGGTAACAAAGGCAACAGCAATGGTGGAAAGAGTAACGGTGGGCTGACGGGAGTTCCGATGGCTGCCGGAACGGTGCCTGCGGGTTATTTTAACAGTGGAATGGCGTCGGGGGCGGCGGCAGCTCCAGTGGGAGGTGGTTCTGTTAATCCTTACCAGCAGCAGTATATGAATGATCAGATGATGCAGCGACAAAGGATGATGATGAATGGGTATCCCATGACTTATGGGTATCCTATGCCAGCTTCAAGTTCGTATACTAGTTATTTCAGTGATGAGAATACTGGTGGAAGTTGTAGAATTATGTGAAGGTTGGTGATGAGTCAGTTTCAGTGGAAGCTGGCTTGTTAACAGTATTTGGAGGTGTGTGATGTGTTTGTTTTATTCTCATTTTGGCACAAATATGGTGGTTAAGTGAAACAATTTAGTGAGTGGGTGTTTAAGAATGGTGCTTGTGTATATATATTGAGAGATTATGGTGATGTTTACTTCTTTATTATGGTTAATTATGAGTTTTTTGTTTTGTTTTTGGATTTTTTTTTTTTATAGATTTTTCTTGATTATATTGCCATTGATTGTGTGAAGTTATTTCATAATTTAGTTTGAATTTTGAATGGAGTTTTCGTGAAGCTTTTTTTCCTTTAAGATTGATCAAGCATCAAGAGATCTTGAACATATGAAGCTTTTTCTTTTTTTTTTCTTTTAAGATTGATCAAGCATCAAGAGATCTTGAACATGATTAAGAGATCACATATAATCTTGTTGATTTATTCTCTTTGGAGGAGAGGAGATATGAAACTAATTATGTGAAAATGGAGTTGTCTTTAAGATATTTGGATGATTATGTGAAAAGGGAGGATTATATTCCATGATAATTGGAGGATTATGTGAAAATGGAGTTATCTTTAAGATGTCACATTATATTCTATTTGATTTGGTCTCCTTTTAGGAGAGGAGATATGAGACTAATTAGAAGTCAAATATAATCTTGATGTCGCTTGCATGCATCAATCTTATAGGAGATTGTGTGTGTTAACATTGTTAGCAATAGAATGCGATGACATCAGTGGGTGCCATCATTTACTTTGATAGTGTTCTTCATACCTTTTAGGTGATGGTAAGTTTTGGCATTTTTAGTGATATAAGATGATGAAGTTAGTAGACATAAGTGCTTGTATCAATTACTTTGTATTAATTTTTTAGGTGATTGTGTGCATGTTTTTCTCCATTTTTTTAAGCACTTAGAGTCGTTAGCTTGTTTGTTTTTATGTCTTCGTATAATTCATTTTTTTAATAAATCTTCCTCCTGAATCATATAAATGATTCAAAAATGAGAAAAATCGAAAAGAAGGATGTACAAAAAACTCTCAAATAAAAAGAAACAAGAAGAAGACTTATATACGGGTAATCTTAGTGTGATAGGTCGAGAATATATATCATAATAGGATCGGATTAAAGTAACTTAGAACATAATATCCATGAAGAAAATCCCTACATAGGTCTGTTGGCATCAATTTTTGATGTCACGTGTGAAGGATATCTTCTCGAGCGCTATGGAATATTGCCTGAATCATATAAATGATTCGAAAATGAGAAAAATCGAAAAGAAGAATATACAACAAACAAGCAAATAAAAAGAAACAAGAGGAAGACTTATATATGGGTAATCTTCGTGTGATGAGTCAAGAATACACGTCATAATATGATTGGATTAAAGTGCCTTAGAACACAATTTCCACGAAGAAAATCCCTACTTAGGTCTTTTGGTATCAATTTTTGATGTCACGTGTGAAGGATATCTACTCGAGCGCTATGGAATATTGCTTGATGCGCACATTAATTCTCGTAGTGCAAGACATCCATTTCAGACCTTCCAACTCGTATTGAAGGAGCAAGCGCCCGATGTTGCTTTGCTCAACTTTGGCTTTCTCTTAGATGAAGGTCAGTTAGCATTTTTATCCGTCGAAAGAATCCGATTGGGTCAACAGGTCTCGTTCGCCACAACATGTGTGAATAATGCTCAAATTGGCTCACACACGCGCGCGCGCACACACACACACACAAAATAAAGAGTATGCCTAAGCATAATATCTCTTCAAATATTGCTCGTTGATAAGGGCAAGGAATGAGATCCATCGGCATCTACAAGCAATGAAGGCACTTTAACTTTTGAAATGACTGTCTCGAACCTGAGGGTCAATGCATGAAACATAAAAAATGTGGGTGTACGGAATATCGTACAATATGCCCACAAAAAAGACAAGTCAACTTTCAAAGGAACGACTGTTGAACCCAAGTGTTGACATATAAATCGTAAAAGGGGTGGGTGGAAACTCACACTAAATGACAATTTAACTTTTGAAGGAAGAACTGTCAAGACCCGAGTGTCAATACATAAAGCATAAAGCAGGTGGGTGAAAAGCCCATACAGAAGATAAGTCAGCTTCTAATGGAAGGACTATGAGGACCCAAGGGTCGACACATAATACGTAAAAGTGGTGGGTGGAAACCCTCACCAACATCAAGTCGGCTTTTGAAGGAAGGATTGTCGCGACCCGAAGGCCGACACGCAAAGCATAAAGGTAGGAGGAAACCTACATAGAAGGCACCTCGGCTTCCAGAGGAGGGATTGCTACTACCCGAGGGTCGACGTGTAAAACATAAAGTAGGTGAGTAAAAATCTACTCAAAAGACACGTCGTCTTGAGGAAGAATGATTGTCAGGACTTGAAGGTTGATATGTAAAGCTTAACACAAGGGAGTCTTACCCCTTCATGAATATGTGACCTTGACCTTGAATCGGAGGAAGGGTTAGGCATGGAGCTTATTCACGAAGATGTAGTTCAATTCCAATGTTGTTCTAGACTAAGGACCCGATAAGCACTAGCCACCATCGACCACCGTTGGCCGCTTTCTGCTCATTGCAACACAACCTCTTGCAGAGTCGTAGCATACATTGTAGAGCAACGAGACACCATGCAGAGTAAAGACCAATGTCGCAAAGCAACGAGGCATCCTACAGAGCAGTGCATCATCCTAAACACCTTACCATGATGCACCTCGAAGTCACTGTATCGAAGTCCCTAAAACTATTCCTAAACACAAATGCTCTCAACTATTATACAATGAATTATTCTGTATAAAACAATTATAGTTTGAAGAACTATGTAACCCTTAATCGCTTATGGGACAAAGACCTGAGCGCGTACTCTTTAGCTTATAGTGGATCAATCTAACTGGGCCAGGCTATAAGATTTTTTCCCTTTTTAAGTTTTTAATATAAAATATTTTGGTGTGTCTATCTATCACTTCAATTGCTCGTGTCCGCGTTCTTCTTTCGTGCAACGCTAAAAAGCTAAATAATCAGTCTATCATAGCGAACCTTGCGACACACATCAAATATCATAATAAAACCAGACAAATTTAGTTATACCAAATCAAATCTTAGCTTTGTTTGTGGGAAGTCCAAAGAAAAATTAAAAATGTCATCTTTTAATCAAGACACAAAAAAAAAAAAAAAAGAATAAGAATATTTTCACAGTAAATACCTCAAAATTGACTTTTTATTTTAAATATCCAATCATAGAAACAAAATCTAAAAAATAAAGACAATTTATAATGCAAAAATAAACATATAAAATTTTATTATTTTTAAAAGACATAAAAACTTAAAAAAACAAAATAAATCAACTAAAAAAATTCAATAAAAAAAACCTTTATCAAATCTTATGAAAAATAAAGTTTAACAAACCAATTATTTATTTATTTGATGAAAATGTAGTTTATTTCTTGATCAATGAAGATAAAAACATTTATTATTGTTATTCTTATTAGTTATTTCATTTAGCTCAAATCAACATTTGATATTATAATTTATCATATAATGGATAATTTATGATTGATGTTCTATAATGATTTATCTTATAATTAGTGTTAATCAATCAAGGAGTATTAACATGGTGCACACCACTAATATATTATTTTCCCACTTGGTGGTGGGCCCACAGGACCAATTGTATTGTCTATGGGTTAAGTAGCAGTGGACCCTTAAGAGCTTGAGATAGTGTAGACTTGCTTTCTTGCTTCGTGTATTGAGTGAGATTTTTATCATTTTTGGGTAGGTGGGTGGGTCCCCTATAGACTATATATATATATATATATATATATTGAATTCTATATTGGGGACTACCCACCTCAACTATAATCATTAAAATTCTTCATAAATCTTTATTTAATTTTATATCTTTCTTAATAACTATATTTTGGCAAACGAAGATAAACTCGTCTTTTTATATTCCTACAAAAAAATGCTATTATAACTTTGTTGAAAGGGATGGTCGCTTATAGAAGTGAAGTCGTGAAACGTCAAAATTTCAAATTGCAAAAAACTTTTTGTTTTAAATATTTTCCTCACCGGTCTCATTTAGGACTGGCTACGACAGTGGCAGTGTCTATGTGGGCACGTTTGAGAGAACCAATAAATATTTTTTATGTTGTTTCATCATTTACTTGAACTTTTCTTGAACTCACTTAAAATTTTTGAGTTTAACAATGACTTCTAAACATGAGTTTGGAATTGGGTTTGAATGAAATTTGACCCTTAGATTCCAAACTTAAATTGCATCATTCCTTGTATAATTTAATTCATTTAATTTGATTTATATGTACACAAATGTCTATTATTTATTTTTTTTTAGGAAGACAAAATCAACATAAAAAGCTACAAGGTGATAGAGCAAATCATCTGGTTTAGAGCACATGACCTCTACGACAGGGCCAATCAATATTCTTTCAAGCAACTTTTCATTAATCCAATCCTATAGTTATTTGAGGCCTTAATTCATCCGGCTACCCTAAGATGAGTTGAAGATGAAATTAACAATGGTTTCTTCACTGCGTTCAAAATTTTTGAAAATTATAAATTTACTTTGATTACTAAGATGGTTTGATGAACTTTTCTTTGAGGAAAAAATTGAGGTGATCACCACAATTACAGAATCAACAAAGAATTTTGTAGATTGTCATAAGAACTTCATTGATTTTGATCTTAAAGATGCCTCCATGAGTTCATAATTAGAGAGGATGATTGAAAGCCAAGTTTGTAATACTTTGTTATGGATGGGATACATAATGTTATGTTAGCTAATATGCTAGTAAAATTGAGAAAGAGACATATTCATTATGCACACTTATAAAATAGGGTGCCAAGAGAAAGAACACTTAAGAGGCTAGATAAAGACATGATCCAAATTGAGGGAAATGTCTTAAAAGTAGTGAAAAGAATAATAAAGAAAGCCTTAATTCAATACACTACCAACATATTTTTAAAGTCATTCAAAGGTTAAGTAAGAGTTATGTTGTATTCCTTGGAGAGAAATTCTTCCAGATGTTAAATTGAAAGAGCCAAAAAATACTCGCAGGTAGAAACTTTTTACCATATATAAACAATGAAGATGTGAGTCATATGTACTTTCATTATAACTTGAATGATTCTATCGCTCAAGTATTTATGGAAACTAACTTTGAATGCTATATTAAGTTATTGTTTATGGACAATAGTTAGCCTTAGGGTTTTGAAAAAGAAATAAACCACCACATATTTTATTGGAGTGTTTAATGTTCAAGAATAGAAAGCAAAATATGTGATGCATAGAGGAAAGAACCAAAATGAATTACACTTTAATCAATTCATACCCTCCTCGAGTCAACCGGTGAAAATTTTTCTTATGATTAGAAAATGTCACAATAATTAGCTTGGAATTAAGTAGTAATTATATGCTCTTATAAAGTTTTTACATAGAAAATTTTTTAAAAAAACTATCTAAGTGAGCCATGACAATAGATTGAGCAGACACACAAGATTGATAAGGATTTTGTCATGCATGCCTAATACATTGCTCCATCTATTTATATTATAAATGAAGTAGATACTGACAGAGTTGAACTTATAAATGAAAATGATAGAAAAAAAATTATAATTTAAAATCAAGATGTTATAAAAGGAAGAGCAAAAAGAAGAGATGTAGAAGAATAAGAAGTATTTAGCTCACAATTTCATAAATCCATTTATTAAGCGGCACATGATAGTTGATCCATATACCATTAACTCTCTTTAAAGCATAATAGTTCTATAAAGAGTAAATGTTAGGAATTATGCATAACTCAAATGATAGTGAGATTGGAGTAAGAAGTGCTAGCATAGTGTACTTTTAATAGCTAAATGTATTAATATCTTGGTTGAATGATAAAGTAATAAATATAACACTTAAGTGGATGCATTACAATGTTATAATGTACCTAAATGATACATTGTTATTTATAATATGCTTTGTTATTTTGCAAAATATAATTAAATGTATCTTGTTTTTAATTAAGAAAGTTGTTCTAGTTTTACCCCGATATTTTTTCTTAAGATTTGTTTTGGACAGAATTTTTTATCAATGCTATAGATCGAAAAAAAATGATATTATGAATCCAAAAAAGTCAAAAGAACCCATTATAAAAACTTCCTTTTTTCAGCCATGCCATAAGTCCCGAACTTTTAGATTATGTTTGCATTTATTTTATCGATACAATTCACATTAGTTGAGATTCCGACGTGATCTCGTTGACTTTGTCTCTTAACTAATCTCTTTTAGGTTTTTTGATGACATGTTATGTCGAACATAACTCCAAATATTCTAATATATAAAGTCCAATCATATGATAGATTAGGATAATAACCGGGTTCCATATATCTTGCACTCCCTACTCCTCATCCTCGTGCTTCCGACAAGAACCGTTCCAATTTTGAGTCATTTCCTTTTCGATGTCCAATAAACACCATTAAAATCTATTATTGTACTCCACAAAAAAAAAACATCAGCCACTGTTTTAATCGAGTCTTCTTAGGAAATATCCATTCCTAAGATGTAAATAGCTAAAGAGGCTCTCCTCTTTAGAGATATCTGATTCCAAAATAAAAATAGAAATCATTATGATATGACAGAGAAAAAAACTTTTAGTATGCAGCCACACATAATAATGAAACAATCACTTCACGATCAAATACATCATAAAGTAGTTTTTATGAAACAATCACTTCACGATCAAATACATCATAAAGTAGTTTTTATGAAACAATCACTTCACGATCAAATACATCATAAAGTAGTTTTTTTCACCTCTCGGGATGATATACTATTTCTATGATGCCGTATCCAATTACAAATGATGAGTTTTAAAACTCATATAAGTGGTATCTCCACACTGCACACAGCTTTTATTTCATATGTAATATTCTTACAACTCATGTTAGCACAAAATGATATTAAGTTGCAATTATATGTCATTGAATGTTGAATTCTATTGGTCTCATTGAAAACAATGTTCTATTAAACCCTAAATCAATAATAGCAAAAATCCATTTTATTCTTACCTAACGCATCATCTCCAATCCTTATCTATCAGGTCCTTATCAAAATTAAAGAAAAAAAAGAGGGAGGAAGATTACATACATACCCCTCAATTCCTATGTATTTACGTTTTAGCATTTAAATATATAATCTTATCTATACATAAAAATTATGTATTTCAAAATTTAATGCATAAGGATAAAAAAATAAAAATAAAAATGTTTGAGATGTAAAAACATATGAATTGGGTGGTATGTATGCAAATGCCCCTTAAAAAAATCGAAATCGTTTCCGTTTACGTTTCACGCCAATCATCCAAAACCAGTAGGAGCGGTTGGGATTGCTTTTCCATATCCTTTGACGCCATGCGACGATCGCCGGCGGAGGAGATAATGCTGGACGAGAAGGCGGTGCAGTGGACGGCGGTGATGGAGTTCACGAAGGCCGCGCAGGAGAAGGAAACGGATGCGGTGGCCTGGGCAGTGCAGCTATCGGCGGGGGGGGGGGGTGTTGCTTCGCCGTCGCCGGAGCTTGCTCAGGTGTTGGTCTCTCACTTGTGCTGGGCCAACGACGTCCCCCTCGTCTGGAAATACATCGAGAAGGCACTTGCAGCTGGCCTCGTCCCTCCTATGGTTCTCCTCGCTCTTCTCTCTTCTAGGTCTTTCTCTCGCTTTTCCGCTCTCAATCGATTTGTGATTTTTGAGTTTTTCCGGTGATCGCGGTTTGGATTCAAACATCATAGAATTGGAAAGTAATGGAGTCAAGAATTCAGGGGAATTTCATCTTTGTTTGGGGAAATCTTGTTTCCTTGGAGTATTTTATAGTTTCCCTGGAGTAATTTATAGTTTCCCTGGAGTATTTTAGAATTTGATCGTCTTTGCACGGCCCGTTTGATGGCATTAAATAGATTGAAATTATTGGCGAAAATGAAGATCTGCTTGGATATTGATATGGCCTGAGAGAGCATGCTTGCTGTTGAATAGTTAACTAGTAGGAATTTGATTGAGCAATTGATGCTTCCGAAAAAGGGTTGTGCCATCTCCACGAGTGTTTTGTGGCATTTGCATACGTAGCACACAATTCTCATGTATTTACATATCTCACTTCTAAACCTTCATATTTACACAAATAACACTTAAATCTTTACTATCACATAACAAAAGGCACTATTAACTATGTTTAAAAGTAAAATACACATTTTCATGCATATGCCAGATTGTTATATATGTAAATTTGAAAGTTTACATGTGAGATACTTATATACATAAGAGTTGTTTGCTAATTATGTAAATTTCCCCTTATTTTTTTTGCACAGGATACATTATTGTGAGAGCTACTGTTGTTAGGATTGATTTATTACTATATTAACATTATCTAATTCGCTTAATAATTATTTAGAAGGTATAATATTGATCATTATAATGTATCCTCATTATGGCAGACAATCTCCCTTATTGTTCTATACTTATTGCCTTTTATTTTGCCTTTACATAGGCATGTTTGTACTTGCATTAGGTTCATTCAAATAAAGATGTAGATTTTTTATAACTTTTTGTCATGGTATCAGGGCTACCTCTCAAAGCTTTCATCTTTATCTTTATGTGAAGATCCTACGAAAAGTTACACTCTGAATCTAGCCACTTTGTGAAGATACTATGAAAAGTTACACTCTGAATCTAGCCACTTTGTAATTCTTTACCTGAACTTTGCATGCTCATATGAACTTCTTTGGCCAACTGCGCCTCGCTACAGTTCACTCGATCATTGCAATTACTTGTGATCATGCTTGCTAGTCGATATTTGTTCGCCTGCGCTTTTTTGAACTCACTACAATTTGGCTTAAGAATTTGTACTCATGATTCTGCAAAGGTTTCGAAAATCAAACCGAATACTAAATCGACATAGATGGAGGTTTAAGGTTCAAACGTTTGAATCGAGGATTGAATTGAATGACGTAATAAATAATAAATTTATTTAGATATTAAATAAATGATTTTATAATAATGTGATATTTGTACTTTTAAAAAATACATTAAGAAATATAAATTAGACACTTTATTATTTAAATGATTAACATTTTTTTTAAACATTCTTGATTTTTTGAATTATTCCATTTGCTTCCTTTAAGAAATTGGTTCTTTGAGAAAGAATTGATGATAAGAGCAAATAGTATCACTTGGATAAGATATACAAGTAATCCCCTAGATAAGATATATAAGTAATACAAAATATTCGATTGCACAAATATATTTCAAGATATAATAGACTTCTTCAATAGCCAAAAAAATGTGATAAACCCTCATAATTAAACTATTGATTGATGAATTTAATACTCAATAGTTATCTTTCAAAAATATAAAGTATTAGACAATAAACATGTAAAAATGAAATATTTTAAAAAATGCAAATTTAATGCTCATTCTTAAATGTTTCATATCTAAAAACTCCCTCGCCATCAGCTGCCTCTCAAACTTTGCCTCCTCAAGTGCATCTAAATTGTCACATTTAACTATTTCATTTATATTATCAATACATTCATCTACATCTGCGTATGAAATTTATAAAATAAGTTATTTTTTCACCTTGCATTCAATTTATGTAGAATTCACAACTTACAGATTGTTTGCCTTTTCAGTTCTTTAGAAATGAGATTAAAATTATCTCTATAAATTTTATTTTCTAATATCATATTCAAGTTCAAGTGCATGTTTATGATCATTTATTCAAAAGTCTTTCTACACTTGTGTAGTCTAATGGATCGTAATTTTTTTTAACTTGCAACATAAAATAAATAAATTTTTTAGATTATAAATTATCATTATACTTTTAAAAAATAACATATTAACATATAAAATAGTCTATCAAGAGAGTATACATATTCCTCTAATTAAGATTGTATATAACATACATCAAATCATTTAGTTTTTATTGCTTTAGATTTTTTTTATATTAATTTATTCAAAAATATCTCAATTATTTTTCATCCAGATGAAGAAGTTTGACAAAGAATGTGAATAACCTATTTTTATAAATTTGTAGCACTAGAGTCAAATATTTTCAACATTCATCTGCATATTATCAAATTTTGATTAATTTCAAGAAGATATTACATATATATATATATATTGTTGAAAGCTTGAAGCACTTATCAAGTTGCATTTCTTTTGATATGGCGAGAGCCATTAGTTTTTCAGAACTTAACTATTTTGATAAATCTAACTTCAGTCATTACAAATTTGGACTTACTACATCTACCTGTATTACCGATAAGTTCAACTAATTCTTGTATCACTTCAGGTTTTTGGTAATAATTTTTTGATCATATTGAAAACGTGGATTCAAAAAAATATGAAGCTGAGTGGATAACTTGACAAAGTTCATCTCATTTTTTTTTAATAATTCTGGTATATGATTTGTAGAGTCTCTTTATTATTCTAAGCATGTAATTTATTATTTTTCTTATTCTTTTCATGTTATTATAAACATAACCGAAGGATGACTTCTCATCAAAATCAACAACTCGTAATAATCTTATTTATTTTCTTGATAGTTTTGACATGATCAAACAATCATTCCAAAATTTGTTATCTAAAATGATAGAAATTGGAATGCAATGACCATATTTAAATTGGTTGGGCATGTTAAGTTATGCCGCCACCACGGTACACCTCTAGTTTTAGGAGCATTTTCTTGAGTTCAGGACAAATTAGTTGTTTTTTGAAGCCTGGACCTCGCATGGTAGACTTTTATTTTCTTTTTGCAAAACTATGTACTTTTATTTGTTTTGATGTAGGAGCTCACACCTTTGGTCATTTTATATTTTAGCATCAAAAGAATGTTATGATGTTCTCTTGTCTGATAACTATTATCGTTAAGCTCAATATAATCGGATAGTCTTTTGTTGTGTGTTCTTTAAGGGGACCATCTTATACTAGAATGGATAATTCTGTGTTAACTGGCTTTGCCTCAGATATGCAATGTTCATGCGATGATTGGCATTGTTGATTCATTCTCTCATTCTGGAATAAGTACGAGACAAATCATGAGATCTTCTATTCTAATCTGATTGCTTCTGTTATAACCATTTTTTATGATGTTTCATGTGGTTCCATTCTTATTTGTACAGGGTAATCCCAAGTCGGCATTCAAGACCAGGGGCATATAGGCTTTACTTGGAAATCTTGTGGAGATATGCATTTTCATATGCATCTCAAGTTCAAGTATCAAATTTCAAAAAGTGAGGATCAAGTGTAATTATACTATTGTTTTTTCTTGCTGGATGTTAAGTTTGACATGATAGGTTTCTAACTGGCCACTTTTTCAGTTAATTGATTATATTATAAAACCTGCATGATTAGCCTATAAAGGGACACCATGCGGGCAAGAAGTTACCTTGTAGCTCTTTGTCATTCTAACTTAATTTGTTTCCTTTTTCTCCAAGTTAGGTTTTTCATCTATATATATATATTATTTTCTCAGCTATAGGAGATACTTATGATGAATGCAGTAAGCAGTTGAGTGTTATTTGATTAGAACTTCCTGTATTTTGGTTTCTTAAAAAAAAAAAAAAACAATTTCAAAACTTTGCGATCAAGGATAATAATCTAATTTTGTAAACACGAATGCAAAATATTCTTGAATTTATGCCCAGGTTTCTTGACCTTAGCTGTACTACTAGGATTCATTATAAACTCTGGCATACTATTATGATTTGTTGTGAAATCTTAACATGACATTATAATAGGCTTCATTGTCAATTCTAGTATTGCTACCGTGTTTGAAGATGGATTCTAGTAGTGCCAATGCTTTAAGAAAAGGATAAGCTTTTGTCCTTGTTTGCAAATGTTTCTAACTGACCCTTTTCTTTTCATCGAAAGGTCAGACAATATGGGGTTATGTACAAATTTCCGATTATATAATTGGTCCATGCTTATGCATTTATGCTTATAAGTTTGGCTAGTAATTCACTCAACTTTTGTTTTCTATGAAAGTCAAACGTATTGGAATGATAAAGTATCGATCTATCATACCTCATGAGAATGGAACATGAATGGCAATGTTGTTACTTGTATAAAATCTTGCTGTTTATGATGACAGATTCCTCCATTATACTTTACATATTAGAAAATAATGAAGATTCTGGATTTAGTTGTTATGAAACAACAACACCATATAGCTTTCTTTATAAATGCGAGTGCTCTTCGATGGAAACAGAAGAACGAGAGAAATATGGGATATGGAATGATATTTTGAGGAAAAAGTTGAATGATATTTTTAGGAAAAAGTTAATATATGTGAACCGACTTTGTTTTTAGCTTTTAATTTAAAAGCTCTTTCTTAAATAATGAGGCCACTACTTTATTCTAACTACTATATGTTCTCTCTTGTTGATTGTTTCTTTGTTAAAATATCTGAGATTCCTATAATAGAATGGCTGTGTATTTCCTTGACATGAACTTTAAAAGCAATATAAGATAACTAATGTCTAATCTCTCATTTTATTTTAAAATATGTTTTTTTCTTGTGGATTATTTCTTTATTTAGCTCTTTGAGATTTCTATGATCGGATGAGTGTATTTCTTTTGACAAACTTTAAAAGCAATATAAGGTAACTTCTATATTGTGTAGGATAGCAATTAGATAGATTTATTTATTTATTTATTTTTTTTTGCAATTTTCTATGAGCAAGAACTCTCACTTTTTTTGTGAACTAATCATCACTGTTTGCTATTATCTTGGTTTATGTTGGAATTATGTTATCTCTTAGTGTTAGCAAACAGTCTTGTTTTTCATTTCCCATGTTATATGGAGTGATAATGTTTTTATTTTTTTGGTAGTTTATTTGGTTTTCATTTGCCTGTAGGAATTAAAAGTTATCCTAAGGCAATTTGAGAAGTAAACCCATCCGTTTATGCAGGATCATGGTGTTCATAGATGATTTTCTTCACCTTTCTGAAAAATTCGGGGTTCAAGCATCTGAACCAGGGCTTCTGGTGGTTGAGTTTATCTTTTACATAGTATGGCAGTTATTAAATGCAACATTAGACGATGAAGGGTTGTTGGAACTAACACCAGAGACAAAGTTTAGATGGCCCATCAAAGCAGAGGATATGGATATAAATGGTGAAGTCTACTCTCAAAGGAATGGACATGGTGAAAAGCTGCAAAAAATAAATAGTGTCAAGAACGTTGAATTGATCTTACAGTTCTTACAGCATAAAGAAATTTCCAAGCTTCTTTCATTGGCACGTGAAAACATGTAAGATATTTATATATGAGTATGCTTGTTTATTTTTTTTTTTATAACTTGCATCGTCATGTTTCCTTGATTAACTATTATTCTATCCTTTTGCTATTTAATTTTCAGATATTGTTGTTTTTAAATCTACTTTTTGGTGCAGAGACTATTCATAGTAATCAGAACTGTATATTCAACAAAAGTCTTCAAAGTGGCTAGATATGAAATTTGTTTGTTTATTAGCCTACTATCAAGGATGTATTACAACAATCAAACTTTCTGAATATTTTTTATTTACTGTGCAAGCGGACTGCAGAAATAACAAAATTGCTTATTTCATTATAGAAGTAGCAATGTTTGAAGTGTCAAGTGGTATGGGAAGTTGTGTTTCTTTCTTTGAAGAAATCCAATTATTCTTAATAAATGTTAATAAGTATGCTTACCATTGTCTATGCTCAAAGAGCGAAGGGCTACATGCAAATTGGTGTATGGTCTTTTACTTTAAAGAGCAAAGCGTGTTGTAAATGGAACTTAAAAGAAGCATAACACTGCCTTTTACAAAAGTTATTTTTATCTATTTTAATAGAAATATGAGAATGCACAATTACAATTTTTCTTAAAGAATCTAATTAAATCCTTATAAATACCGAGCTACATTACGGCACTAAATCACATGAAAGAACCAAGTACAACACTTAAGCATAAATAATAAAAAAATATACCATATATACTATATTAGGTGATTTTGTCAACATCATGACTTGGAAAAAAGTATGACAATTAGGACAAATTTGTTGGTATGCGTGGAACTTTTTTTGATGGCTACCAACATTGTATTCTAACATTTAGATCTGAACTAACCTAGGCCCTTAAATCACCATGCATTTTTGAGTGTACCGGTTTGGTTGGTTTTTTAATACTTCAAAATTTTGGGTTGTGGCACTGTTACATTAGTTGCTGTTCCATTGGAGCTGACCTTTATGGCAGCATTGAACCAGCCCCTCTCCCCTCTTGCTGACAACCTAAAAGGGTCCAAAAATATTTCTTTTGCTGATGTGGTAGCAAGTAGTTGAGGCATTGCAAGTGGCGTTGTTGATAACCTGTTTTCCCTCAATGTTACCATGACACATATGATGGCAAAGGTGACTGCTCCTTTATTAAAACAGCCTGTAGAAAAGGAGGCGAACCAGCTCTCCTCATTACTGATAATGAGGTGTTTCATTTAGCTGAATTTTGCAAGTTCATTTTGGTGGGTAAATTGCAAATGGGACACTCAAGATGGAATTAATTAGAAAAGCATTTGAAAATCTAAAGCTAGTAGCAGATTGGAAAGTTGGATTGTTTGATGGAAGTCATGTGATGGTACAACTCCATAAGGAAGAGAATTACACAAGAATAATTCAAAAAAATACATGAAGATTGATGGAAAATACACGAAACTACTCAAGTGGTCCACAGACTTCGATGGACTAACACTTCATAATCAGAAATCATCAACCTGCTCGCCCAAGGCTAACACATCATAATATAAAGGATCGTAACACAAAAGGATTATAAAAGAATTTGAACTTAGGATAGAAGTGAAAGTTGGTAGAAAAGGTAGGCAAAGAATAGGGAGGAATTAGAATTGGAAAAAATAGGAATAGGAAAGGGGATAGAAAAGGAAAGCACTAGAATATGAAGGAATTGGAATTTGATTGAAGTAGGAAAGCAGATGGAATAAGAAAGGAGAGGGGAGGGAAGGGCTGGACTGCGGTACTGTAGTAGCTATAGTTCTGCGACCGCTAATCCATACTCTAAATAGAGTATTTTATCTATTTTGGAGTCTCACTATAAAAAAAACGCAAGTAGATCATAACTTTTTCCTTAAACTGAAGACCTTTTGACTAAATTAGGTGCCAAAATCCGAGCACTGTTCAACTATTTTTCAGTTGGCTTATTGGTAAACTCCTAACTTGATTTTGTACCAATTTAGCAACTAGACTGAGGTGTCAATAAGGCCGAACACATTGATTCAAGGCTCAAAATAATAGGAAGAGAAATATTGAAGAGTCAAGAAGGGCTAAAAGCTATCTGAAATTATTTTAGGCAGAAGGTCATGTATGTGTCATCCGGTTTAGGTCTTTTTTTTTCTTACAAAGAATCCGTCCAACAGAAAAATACCAAAAAGAAGCAAATGAATGAGTTGTGCCTCTTCACGGTGCTCAGGAAAACTTGATATCTAGTCGCTAAAGCTCTTCAACCATTTCATATACTACCGTATTGTTGACGGTTTTAAATGCATGGAAGCTCCTTCTACGGAGGTCCTTTTGGACAAATATTGAGATATTTTTACTTCATAGAAATCATAAATTCATTTTTGCTAAAGGAATTTTTCTGCAAGAGGCAGAGCAATAAATTCTCAGTAGTGCTCATGCTTGTGAAACTTCTGGAAGAAAGTATAATCAAACTTGATGGAAATTTCTTTCGTGTCATTTTCTGCTGTTATAAAGATTGAAACTTAATATTGCGTATATATTCATATATTGATTATGTGAACATTTGCCAACCATGTGCCAATTTTTCTATGCAAATGTTCAACATAGTAAAAGAATCCTACTGTCTTGCCAATGGTACATATAGCATTGTTTTCCTCAATTGTATTCCAAGTTCTTCATTCACATGTTTTGTGCTTGATCGGCACTTGCGATGAGCTGTACCTGAGCATGATAGAGATGTATTCATGTATGAAATTATTTAATGCTTTATTTTCATACGTGTAGACAAATAGAAGTACTCTTTTTAATTGCACAACCAGTACATAAAATTTTACATGCATACCACTCAATTTTTATGCATTTACATTTCTAACACCTAAACTTCAATTTTTACATGCATGCCATCTTACCTATGCATGAAAAAGTATATTTCACTTTTTAAAAGTTAAAATGGTGATATGTTTTTGTGATGTGAAAGATTTGGGTGGTATTAATGTAAAAAGTGAAGTTTATGTGTTAGATAAGTAAATACTTAGGAATTTGGTGGTATGTATGTAAATGCCCCTGTTTTATTTCTGTAATCTCGGACTTTTATGCCTGGCTGCTTATGCATTTTTTATTTGATGGCATTCCGAAGAGCTAATGAGCATTACAACAGCACCTATATTTAAGAAAATGTGCCGCCAATATTGTGAGCAAGTAAAAGAAATAATGGTTTTCTTACTTCTTGTTCTTGATAACAGGGTTCGATGTGCACTAATTTGTTTGAAATCAGGATTTTTCGAAGAAGTTCAATTAAAATATTGTGTGGAGTTAAGAAGCACTTGCATTTGGGATATTAAAAAAAACTGTAATCTCAAAACATCATTTATAAATGTGAAAACTTTGGGAAATGATTTTTATTTATTGCTCACCTCAGTGCATTATACCTTACAACATAAATATAATAATGAAAAGAAATAAAATAGGAATTTCACTAAATAGAAAAAAACATAAAAATAAGAAATATCTAATAGAAGGAAGCACAATTAGTAAAATATATTATGAGGGAAGGAAATAAATTTCTTTCTAATCAAGTATGGGGATTGACAATTTTCAGTACTCTCTCTCAAGTTGGGTTGTTTATATTGAATAGTTCAAGGTTGGTCTTCAATTCATCATGGTTAATTCTTAATAGTATTTTGGTGAGAATATCAGTAATTTGAAATCGTATAGTAGCTGAATAATTATATTGTTAATCTTTCTGAGATGAAATATCTGTCAATCTCGATGTGTTTTGTTGTGTCATGATACACAAAATTTTTAGTTATATTAAGAATTTCTTGACTATCACTGAACATCTTAATTCTGTTTTTCATCTCAACCTTATGTTCTTTTAGTAGTCTTTGAATCCACATTCCCTCACATATTTCTAGTGCAAGGGCACGTTATTCAAATTCTGCACTACTCTGAAGACAAGAACTTGTCTTTTGTTTCTCCATGTGACGAGATTGTTCCAGATGTATGAACAATATCTAGTGATTGATTTTCTATCAGACACCTCTCCTGTTCAGCTATCATCTGTGTATAAATTTCACGGTTTTAGATCTTTTTAAGAGTCAACCATATCCAAGAGTCATCTTTATGTTTTTCATGATTTTCTTCACCACTTTCACATGATTCTCATTTGAATTATTCATATGCTGACTTACTATACTGGCTGAGTATACAATATCAAGTCTTATGTGTGATAGGCGGAGTAGTTTGCCCACAAGTCTTTGATATCTTCCTTTGTCAATCAATCTTCGTTCTTCACTATTGTTTAGTTGTTTGTTGGAATTCATGGGTGTGTCGGCAGACTTATTACACTCAAGCATGTCAGTTTTACTTGAAAAGTCTAAGATATACTTCCTTTAGGATATGACAATTCTATTCTTAGACCGAGCCACCTCCATTCCCAGAAAATATTAGAAATTCTCGAGATCCTTGATCTAAAATTATGTTGCAAGCATCCTTTTTAGTCTGGTAATTTTATCTGAATCATCACATGTCAAGATAATATCATCCAAATGTACTATGAGAAAATCAATTTTGCCTTTAGGATTGTTTTTAAAAAATAGTGTGTTTAGCTTCACATTGATGATATTGGTCTGTAATTACTATTTTGGTAAATATGTCAAATCAAGTATGAGGTGATTGATTCAAGCCATATAAGAACTTCTTAAACTTACAAACCAACATGTTCGACCTATTTTTAAAGCCCGAAGGTGTGGTATGTGTCCTTATTCATCAAGGTCGCCATTCAAGAATGCATTTTGACATCAAGTTAGTACAAAGACCAATTTGTTATTGTTGCAAGAGAGAGTAGAATCCAAATAGTGTCAAGTTTGGCAACTGGTGGAAAGAATTTTTGATAGCCAATCCCATTTGATTGCGTGAAGCTTTTGATAGCCAAAATTATTTTATAGAGCTCAATTTTTTTCCTCAATTGTCTATTTTCATGCCGAAACCTTTAGAACCTCTTGAATAGAGTTGGAAACCTGCACATTATTAAGGTTTGTCATA